GGGACATTTTGTCGTCCCTTCCGAACCAAAATCCTGGCTACGTGCCTGCTAGCCACCATAACTCCAGAGTTGAGACTCGGCCATCTCAATGGTAGCGCTAATCTGACGCTCCTTGCCAATGTCCGTTTCAGTCGCGTACTTTACGAGGGCGAACCGCCGTCATCGATAAGCTTTCTGCCATTAACGTACAGACACCAATGCTCCTGACAACGGAGAGTCGCGTGTTCTTTGTTTGGTTTCCAGGAAACTCGTAAACGCCGACAGAGACGGACACGAAGAAGGGGACGCGAACGACTTCTGCTTTCAATTATACGGGACGAAACGGAGGGAGAGGAGGGGACGAGAGCGCGCGGCGAAAGCTAGCCGCCTTTGTATCTATTCACTCTTCGAACGCTTTCGAACGCCAGTGACACCGTTGTTCGGCGTTCGAAGATGAAGTATAGAGCCAAAGGCAGCTCTAGCTTAGCGTCTCCACCCACTAATCACTCCAACCAGAGCTCGGTGTTCCGACGTAACCGCGCTCTCTCCTCTCATCCTCCTCTCCCTCCCACGCGGCCCAACACCGTTTCACTTGGAGTCCTATGCAGAGAGCAAGTCGTCTGCTTCTTTTGCGGGGGTTGTAGTGACGTCAGAACAACGCCTAGCTCTGATTGGATCTGATTGAAGGGTAGTGAGCAGAGCTAGAGGCAGCTTGCTTTGAGGTCTACCCACTATCCTTCAATCAGAGCCAATCAGAGCTCGGCGTTTTTCTGACGTCACTACAACCCCTGCAAAAGAAGCAGACGAACTTGCGATCCACATACCGCAGCCGTCGCTACGATCCGCGATTGAGCCAATCAACCAGAGGCAAACGCAGATCGTCCCAACGCTTGTTTTCGTTGGGGATCTGCTAAAAACGTGCAGAAAAAAGAAAAAAAAGCGCGGGATCACGGCGTTTTTGATGCGTGTGATTGGTTTGTTTGGTGCAAGCCCACGATGGGGATGGGCTTCCGTGACGGTGAACTTTGGGGGCTGCTTGATTTGGGGCTCCAGAGGATCTCGGCCGCGTTTTGCGTGATTTGATCCTGCGAGAGTCCTCCTCTTTGCGAGGCAGCGTTCTGAGCGCGGTGTTGGACAAGACACTCGACGAGAGGGTATAATTAAGACGAGTTACTGAGTACCCGTTTCGGAATGTGTTTAGAGCTCTACTCGAGTTACTTTCACCGCCAAAAATTTAGAATGGGATACAAATGTTGTGAAATGCGATTCGATTACTTTCGAAAATGGTTACTCATTCTGTAATTCCGTAAACGGGGCCGAAGATAAAAAAAAAAAAAAGAATAAAATAAAAAGAACACTTCCGTCTTCTTTTGGTATACTCTCCTTATTTTCTTCTATTTGGTGGCATTTTTTGTGTCTATCCCTAAATTTCCGGGACATTAGCTTCTCGGCGCTTGCAGTAAAATGAGAATTTCAACTGAACAACAGACATCGCAATGTTTCCCCAGGAATGTATTACCCAGGCAGCACTCAGTATTGCGCCAATATTGGCGTCGGATCGGATAAATCGGGCCAATGTTATTCTGATACTGCCAATATTGGCGCTGGATTGTAAAGATCGGGCCAGTATTACTGTGATGTGGCCAATGTCGACGGAACATCACTTGGGTCGGCCAACGCCACGCTGATATACCGTATCCAGCGCCGTTTTCCGGTAATTTGTCGGGTCTGAACCGGCTATATCGGCCGGTATTAGGGATTCTTCACCGTTTCTAAAACGATACTGAACCGGTCAATTAATACTAAATCGCGGCGGCCGCCCCCGTTGCCGCGGGCCGCGCCGAGGGCGCGCCGGGCAATCAACGGCTCGAACTGGGTTTTTCCGTACAAACAAACGGAAGTAACTTTTGCGTAGTAACTTTTATTGGAGATTAGTACAAAACGGGGGACGCGTGATGTTGTCTAAAATCTTTAAAGGGGCGGTGCAACGATATTCAATTAGAATGTTTTTTCACTTTACACGACCTTACTGGCACTAGTGGGGCTCAAGGGTACTCACACGCAACGCCACAGATCAAGAAATTCCTTTGTTGCACTGTAATTTTGAGGACAAAACCGAGCGTTTTCATTCAATTTCTCCTTCGCAAAACCTGATGACGTAGCTGGGCGGTAGCAGTACCGCCCAGTGACGATATTTGATTTCGGCTCATAGATTAGACCCGAGCATTGCGTCGGCACCTAATTCGGGCTCGTGATAACTGATAGCTCGAGAAGCATTCGGGTAGTGTCCTGTGTCCAATCGCTGCAATGACGACAACAGCCGAACCCTAACAATGTCTGCAACCAAGCGCGTGTCCTGTGCCTTGCCAAACCCAGCGCATGGCTATGATCAATATAGACCTTTGCAAAAAGACCGCTCTGGCCGCCGCCATTTTGCGAATCGAGCGACCCCTATCAGCCAGAAATTTTTGCCACCCGCCTGAGCTGTGGAAACCCGGTCAGCGTGACTCCCCACCTGCATTTTGCATTCGGAGTTTGGCGGCTTTTCTTGGAAGTTTTCATTTTATTCGTCTGTTTAAGATGCTTACCCTTTGTATGTTAGCTTCCACTGTGAGAACCAGGGAATACCAGGGCTCGTAGCCCGCTCGGCCTTCGCAGAAAGCGAACGAAGAGAGCGAACGTCAAGCAGCCCGCGACGCAGGCAGTTTGACGCGCTTGGAGGATTATTTCCGTCGAGATAATCTCCAAAAAGCCTTCCAGGCTGTGTTCCGGGTCTTCGCGAAAAATAGCTGATAGGGTCGGGTCCGGGGTGTGGCGACGGAATAAGCACGTTCGTTCATTTGCTTCGAAGCTGTGCAAAAAAGCTGCTCTCTTCTACATGTTCCCCAAAACACGCCGGATTCCGTCCGATGGTCGTGAAGTGACTATCGTCGCCACCGTCGACACTATATATCGGATATGCGGTTATTTGACACCTTTCTCAAATCCTGTTCGGATAACGTGGCACCGAGGGGTACGTACAATATATTTTTGGTTCGATTGATGAGACTCCTTGAATTTCATGTTGTGGACGGAGAATATCCATGCAGTTCGGATATCCTGTGTGGTCAAATATTTTGACCTTTATAGATTGGCACGGCTGAGTGTACGGTGCCGTAAAAGAATGAGCACAAAATGAAACAAACATTCCAGTTGCATTTGTTCTTTCGCGCACGGACTCACCAAAACAGCTTTCATTTCTTTGTTTTTGTTCCCAAAAATAAAGCACTGCTTTCTTAAAGACCTCTATAAATTATGCTCGCCACGGTACGCAAGATAAAAAAGAAAACGCGGCAATTCAGCCGCCACCAGCGTCCGGAATGGCGCCAACGCAGGCTGCCACAGCCTACTGACGCGAAACTCCACAGCTCAGCGCAGTCGGGCAACACTGACGTACACTCTCAAAACCAGGGACACGCGCTGTAAATCGCTTCGTTCGAGACTGCCGCTGGAAAGGTCTATTGACGGCATAGAATCGGCTCCAGATCACGTGGCCGCTTGTTCTGGCTGCAAGTTGAGGGGGTGAACTCTGGTTGTTTTTCTTAATTTTTTTCCGCGCCTTCGATTGCGTGTGGTAAAAAACGAATGGGTATTTCACAGGCCATTAACGTCAGGGATCCGCTCTAAGCGCTATTTCCGTGAAATACAAAACTCGTTGCATCGCCCCTTTAAGTTACAAGGTTTGCGGCAGAACCATGTCTCAGAGGTGTTTTCAGGTAGCACGTCCGAACCTAGGAGCATCCTAACTTCAACAGTAAACCGCGGCGCGTCCGCTTGGGAGTCGGGGGTGGCACCCTTGAAGCCCCTTCCATCGTTTCGGAGCCAAAATGGCGGATTAAAGCCAAAATAGAAGTCGCGTGCAGTTCCTCGAGTGGCCGATGCGGGAGAAATGGCGGCGTTGCGATCGCTATTAGCTCGGTTCTCGAGTACGGATTGGTGCCACTTTTTCAGAGCAGGCTCTATGGTAGTTTCTCAACTGATCGGTTTTAGTAACGTTGGCTTGGTCCAATTAAGTCCGCTGACACCGCAGCGGCCGCGGCCATGTTAACCGATATTCGCCCATCTCTGCCCAGAACTCGAATAATATCGCCGATTCTGGCCCGTTTTTAGAACGACCGGTAACCGATATTGGCCCAATACTGGGCAGTGGTACAAACATGAAACTGGGCCAATATTGTGAGCAATATTCCCCCGGCGCTGGCCCAGTGTCGGCGCGCTGCCTGAGTAGATGACATTCATAAAATACCCAAAAACAGTAGTTAAACGTTTGTACTCGTATAGTTTTTATCCCACAAAGCTACACTTTTTTATTTTATTTTAATCATATGGATGGGTCACATTTACAAAATTGACAATTTTTGCATTTGTTGACAAAAAATCGTTTCCGAGGGCTGTAATTGCCGCGGTATCATAGAATGCAAATCAATTAGGATTTTGACATTTCCTCGAAAACGTTTTATCCCTCAGAATGTCACAAAAAGTTGGTCGTGTCACCTGCATCTTTTAATCGTATTGTGTTCTGTGTTCGGTCGTATCTGCTCCAAGTTTCCGCTCGGCTCAACCGATCCCTCTTTCCGTCAAATATTTCAGCGATACAATTTTTTCCAAACACCGAAAAGATGTATGATGATGCAATTAATCCAAAGGTGCGAGCGAGCTGAACAAGAATGTCGAAAATAATCCCTAGAGAAAGGGAACAAGAGGGACAACGGACAAACGCATATCTCCAAACGCAGCTATAGGTGACTGGTTCCGTTCTCTTGAGATTGTTTTCGTTAAAAAAGAGTATTTGAGATAGAGTACAGGATAGTGATGCGTGTGAATAAGATACTGTAGCGAAAATGTCCGATCAAATGTATTTGGAAGACACCGTATTAAATACGGTATTTTGAGTAGGGTATTTGAGATAGGCCCCAGTCTGTCTGACCGTTCATCGACAACTCTGGATGCTCATTGCCTCGTCCCCGTTGTTCCCTGTGCAGACGGGCTACATCCAGACGGCGACGCAGGGGCTGCTCACCATCGAACCCGTGCGCAGGGGGGACGGTGTCCGGGACAAGGACGGCTCGCGGTCCCCGCACCTGCTCACGCTCCACCAGGTCGGCCCCGACGTCGACGCCGCCCCTTCGTTTCCGGCGTCGTCGAGGAACGCGACGACGGGGGCCACTTGGCGAGGTGCCATCGGTGAGTTGACGACGACGACGTGCTTTCATGTCGCCGAGGTGTCCAGGGAACCGTGCAATGAAGTCCGCGAGGCGACGCGAACATCGTCGTGGTCGACGTCTTTGCGGCTGCCTTACGAAAAGAATCAATGAGTTTCAATTGAGTTTCGAATGAATTCTTATAGACTACATAAAAAATTGAATTGAAACTCACTGATAATTTGTGTAAGGGAGCTCGCCCGGAGCTCGTTGTAACTATAGAGCAGTGTTGCAACTTTACCGAAAAGAAAAACAAAAGAACCAAGTTACTTGCAAATAACAAGAAACGCGTTACCGATTCACGTTACCTCAGAATAGAGGGAACGCAATACCAGTACCGATAAAAAGTTACGCAGATTACATTTATTTATGTTTTAAAATTTTTCTCTTTTTTTATTTTTTTTTAAATGAGTGTTTGCGTGGGGAGAAAGAGAGCCAATGTTTTGCAGCTTGCCTGCTTTGTACTAGAACGTCATCTTGACTCCATCTTGACGATATCCTGACGACATCTTGACGACATTGCCGCCGATTCACCTGGGCGACGAGGCGGGGAGGGGCGTGTGACCACACTTCTCTGGAAAGAGCATTTCTCGCGGACGCGCGACTCCTTTCGCACGACCGGGAAGTTGCCGAGATGGTCGCTGATGACGCCGCAACCCTTTGATGGTCTCCGCTTAGCACGCAGACGAACAAAACGCCCGTCGGGTATGCGGATATCACCTTATGGCTTTTCCCTCATGTAGCCACTTGTCTGCCTTTGCTGAGGCGGCCACCGAGACTGATGAAAACAACGTTGGCGCCTGCTGGGCTTGGAGGCGCATAAGGCGCTATCCAGGCATCGCTTTAATTCAATACGAGGCTCACGATAAAAAGAAAAAAAGCTTACTTCGAATAATTAAGCGTTTCTTGCGGCAAAACTTCGATTGTCACTGATTCGCCTCAAAATGGGTTCAGCACTGACCAGGAAACAGCGCACCCTCAAAACAGGCACTCTAAAGCTTTCATGCACACAAAAGAAAGAGCCACTTACACAGCGCTGCTTTGTGTGCATGAAAGCTTTAGAGTGCTTGTTTTGAGAATGCGCTGTTTCCTTGTCAGTCATGAAGAACCAACTCGCCCGAACCTCCGTTTTAACTGGTTCAGCACAGTGTTAGTCACATCAATTCAATTCAATTCAATTTTTATTTTCAGATCAAGTCATACAAGATAAAGAGCTGGCCCACAGAAGCAACATTCTGCTTTTGTGGGCCAGCTCGTTGAGGGATCTGAACATGTCATCCAAATTACAAGTCACAGTAATATTTTTTTTCTCGCGAAGTTATTGAATTTTGACAATTGGTTTGAGAGGATTGAGATAATCTTGCGGCAACACGTACTGAAAAACGTGACGTCAAGTGTTGTAACATGCAGCGTTCTTGAAGCGTCTAAGAACGTTGGTAATAGGGAGGGAGTACAGCTTGTTCTCGGCGGGTTACCCTTCAACGTATCCCTCGAACTACCAAAACGACGGACGTTTCGTCGCCTATACAAGTGACATCCTCAGTGTATACTCTAACAAAAGTGAGGCGAGAGGGCAGCCAGTCACTGTCTAGCCCATAGGTCGGCATTTCCGAACCCACTCACTCACCAACACATCACTAATTACAGCAACATCCAAAAGTCACAGCCCTTCACATCACAAAGTACATCGACGTCCAAAAGTCACAGCCTTTCACATCACAGAGTACACCGACGTCTAAAAGTCACGGCCTTTCACATCACAAAGTACACCGACGTCCAAACGTCACAGCCCTTCACATCACAGAGTACACCGATGTCTAATACTCACGGCCCTTCACATCACAAAGTACACCGACGTCCAAAAGTCACGGCCATTCACATCACCGAGTTCAACCGGACAACAAACTCATCCCCATCAAGTCACCTCAATCTCTGAACTCACAAAGTCATTCACCGTCACTTCACGAATCCGTCAAGTTCACGAAGTACTTCACCGTCACATCACGAATCCTATAGAGTTCATGAAGCATTCCCCATCCCATCACCACCAGCTCTGAATTCACAAAGTCGCTCACCGTCACATCACGAATCCGACAGAGTTCATGAAGCATTCCCCATCCCATCACCGCCAACTCTGAATTCACGAAGTCGCTCACCGTCCCATCACGAGCTCATCGAGTTCAGCAAGTCGTCCCCCTCACGTCCGTGAACTGATCCCGTTCATGAAGTCGTTCGACCGATTCGACTTCACGGCCCTTCACCGAGTCACAGTCATTCACCGAGTCACAGCCATTCACCGAGTCACCGAGGTCACGGAAAGCGGCGTCGGCCCCTGCAGCCGCGGCCACCGCCACTGCCTCCGGCTCTCAGCCATCCTCGAAGTTCTTTCGCAGCGGCGCTGACGGCTCCAGATGTGTGTGTCAGTGTGTGTGTGTGTGTGTGTGTGTGTGTGGGGGGGGGGGGGGGGGGGGTATTGGGCTGGGCCTGGCGACGCACCCTGCACTTGTCATTTTCTTTGTTTAGCTTGTTCCCTCTGGTTTTAGTTTTGTTGTCCCGTTTCTTTTATTTTCGTTTTGTTTCGCGCTTTCTTCATCGAGCGCGCATGCTGTGGAGAGCGAGCGGCTTCTTGACATCCCTGCTCCGAACTTGTGAGATAAGGTGCTTGTTTCCGGGAGAGTTATTAGCCCCACGGATGCCGAGAACCAAAATGGCTGCTGGTTTGTGGGCGAGCGGTATTACAAAGGGTGGTATCACTCTAGCAAAGCGCACATGAAGGCTCCCTAGACTTCGCCTGGTTGTCGGCGTTGTGATTGTGGAGGGGACCCCACCTCAAAGCCTTCTAACCTGTCCTCTTTTTGTTTCTTTTTTTTTTTTTTTTACTTTTTGTTGCGCACGGTTTTTTCTACGAAAAAAAGAGAAGGCGCTTATATTTTTGCCAACGACCGCTTGCCGAGGGGGCAAAAAGGAGATACAGACACGAACCTGCGTGCACGATTTTTGTGAAACATCTTACAAACATTAATACGAGTCCATATTATATGAACGAAGACGTTTTAGCGCATTAGAGTTTAGCGAATAGAGATCACATACGCGAGTCGACGTTTAGGCATTTGTAGGGGCGGCAAACTGGGCATCCAAACAGACCGCGCCAGGCGGTCTGTTCAGAACGATAGCAAGGGATGCTTCGCTATAGTTTGGGGAAAATAATATGAACTCAAGTTCGAGCGTCCATCGCCAAAGGTTCGGCAAGCTCGAAAACAGGACAGCGGCGGTCTTCATTTTATCTATTCGGTCAAATGAACGCCGCCATTCGCTAAAGTGGCATGCGATGAAACGTCGTGGGCCCGGTTTCGCTCGCTAAACCGTCGTTCGATCAGTACAAAATTGTTCTGTGTATTTTATCTTAATAATTATGATCCACGGCAACCAGCCTATCGTTGCCTACCTCACTTTACGTCGTAAAATAGCGCGTTGATGTCACTTTCATAAGAGATACCATAATAACGCAGTACTTCACAGCCGACCGCTGAATCACCCGTCTAATATTTTGTCACGGATTTCATCATATATATATATAAAGTAGACATTCCAAAACAAGAGTCATCCATTCCCAAAAATTTCAGTGGACTGGAACTACCTTCCCACATCTGTTGCCACAATTGCCACTTACTATATGTTTAAAAATTGCCGTAAATAATCTATACAGCTCAGACTGAGCTCCAAAGTGTACAGCTTTGTTCTGTTCTCTTCTAACTCCCGCTCACCTCTGTAATGCTGATGGCCCTGAGGGTATGTGAGTTAAACAAATGAATAAAAAAAGTAAGTGCCTCGCCTGAAAAACCTGTTAAAGAGGTCGCCTCTTTAAGAGGTTTGCAGCTTGCCGAAGCAATGAAATCTGAGTTTTATTCGAACTCGTTGGTCAGAGTACACCTCATCATTAATTAAACCACTCATTGGATCATTCACCTCAAAGAAATATGTTTACTTCCGAGCGTGTTCGTGTCGCTCAACCTACTTTGAGCGAAATGCAGTCGAGATAACTAATGATGGCACTCGACTCCACTTTTCTCAGCTTTGAACCGAGGCGAGGCGCGCGACTCACGCGCGCCTCGCGCTCGTTGTTTTACGCCGGGGTTTGGCTGCGCATAGACTCGTATTATAGGTAGCGTACTGTGTTTTCGGAGTTCATGTTTGAATAGAATCGGAGCGTGTTTTTAGGAGTTTATTTTGTAGCGTAGCCTACACTGGCCGAGGTTGAGCAGTATCGCGTGGCTTCTGGCGAGCCGTGCTGCGTATGCGCGAGGAGCAGTGACGTCACACGTGTCAGCACCGACTGGCCTACCTTCAAACTGTACCACAGTTCGACTAAACATCTGTTGGACAAAGAGTCAATCATTTGCTAAAGTCTGACGGGGCGATGTTCGCGAATATAATAGACTCGGAAACTTGATGGGACGCAAGTTCTTGAAGCGAGAATCTCTGCGAAGCGTTTTATTAGAGGACAGGGTCTTCTAGTTTCACCCCTTGACATTGCTTTCAGTCAGGATGGCACGCGCTGTGCAATTGATTGGGAGCTAGTGCGCCACTTTCCGCGAGAACACCAGTAATGCAGGCGGCTGCTACCAACGGAGAAAACTGCGAATGACAAGGTCTAAAGTATCTAGACTTAAAGGGGCGGTGCAACGATATTCAATTGGAATGTTTTTCACTTTACACGAGCTTACTGGCACTAGTGGTTCTCAAGGATACTCACCCGCAACACCACTGGCCAAGAAACTCCTTTGTTGCGCTGTAATTTCGAGGACAAAACCGAGCGTTTTCATTCAATCTCTCCTTCGCAAAACCTGGTAACGTAGCTGGGCGGTAGCAGTACCGCCCAGTGACGATATGTGAATGCGGCTCATAGATTGGACCCGAGCATGGCGTGGACACTCGATTTGGGCTCGTGATAATCGATAGCTCGAGAAGCATTCGGGTATGTCC